TTCAGATTGAGTTTAGGGCCTTGTATATCCTATGCAAAGAAGTTTGAGAGATGGGGTCTCACTCAGTTGGTAAGGCTAGCCATGAACTCTTTCTGTAATCAACACTAGCCTTGAATTTAGGATTCTTCTGCCTCAGCATCATGAGTATCTGGGATTAATTGCCAAGACTATATCACCAGGCCTATCATTTAAAAAAATTTTGTCAGTGTATCTTATAGAAAAGGTGTTTTGTGCTGACATTTTCATATATGCATATGGCATGCTTTGATTATGTTCATCCCTATTGTATCTACTTGCATCTAATTCCCTTCGTTGTCACAGATTATCCCCTTTCTGCTTTAATATCTTGTGTGTGTGTGTGGTGTGTGTAAGCGTTTTGTGGATGACAGAGAATAATCACTTTGGATGTCATTCTTTTGTCTACTTCATTATTTTGAGACCAGGCCCCTCACTGGAGGGAGTCTTCTCTCTTCCTCCTCAATACTGAGATTACAAGTGTGCATCACCACACCCCTCTTTTTTTTAAAAAAAAAAGTGGATTTTGAGAGTTGAATTCAGGTCCTCATGCTTGTATAACAAACAATTCACTGATTGAGCCATTTACCCAGCCCCTTACTTAAAAAAATTAGTTTTACTATTTTTGAATTGTTTGTATCTGTGTGTGTTTGCAGGTGCTCTTGGAAGCTGTACTAATGGATGTCCTGGAACTAGAGTTACAGGCAGTTTTGACCCACCTGACATGGGTGCTGGGAATCGAACTCAGGTCCTCTGCAACAGCAGTGCACGCTCTTAGCCACTGAACCATCTCTCCAGCCCCTACTAAAATAAAAAAAAAAACTATATTTATTTGTATGGATATTTTCCCTGCACGTATGTCTATTTGCCACATAGTGCCTGGTGCCTGCAGACACCAGGCAAGGGTATTGGATACTTGGGACTGGAGTTACACATTCTTGTGAGTTGCCACATAGGTGATGGAATTGAACCTAATCCTGTTGAAGAGCAGCTAGTACTCTGAACTGCTGAGCCATCTTTAGCTCCATAGGATATTTTGTTTGTTTGTTTGTAATTGAGATAGGAGTCTAACTATATAACCCTGGCTGGCTTGCAACCTGTTATGTAGACGAGGTTGGTCTTGAACTTAAGAGATCTGCCTGCCTCTGCCTCCCGAGTGCTGTGATTTAAAGGTGGTGTTACCATGTCTGGCCCCCTTAAACTTTTTCTATGGCCTAAAATATGATGTATTTTGTAGAAAGTTCTGTGGGCTACTGAGAAGAATTTGTGTTATACAGCCATTGGGAAGATATTCTGTAGATGTGTATGTCTATTTTGTCGATTTTATCTGTATTGTTGTTTAACTGGTTTCTTTACTATTTTGCCCAGATGAAATCTGGTGGTAGCAATGAGTTACTGAAGTCACTCACTATGATTGTATCTGTATTTACTTGTAACTTTATGTTGGCCGTGTTTGTTTTATGAAATTGGCTATACCAATATTTGGTGCATGTATATCTACAGTTGTTATGCTTTTTGGTTGATTATTCTATTTATTAATGTGTGATAAACATCTTTTTATTATCTTTGCTAGAGATTGAACTCTGAGCCTTGCATATGCCAGACAAATAGTGTACTATTAAGCCATAACCCCATTCAGGGACCGTCTTTAGTTTTTCTTAATAATTTTGTTTTGAAATCAGCTTTGTCACCTATGGGAATAAATAATTCTGTTTGCTTTTAGATTCTCTTTGTTTGAATTTCATTTTTTGTTACTTTTCATTTAGTCTCAGTATGTCTTTATTAGTGAGGCAAGTCATTTACAGATAACAAACAATTAGGACTTGAGTGTTGTTATTCTTTTAATTTCTTATAGCCAGTCTGGCTTTTAAAGTAGTGACTAAATACCATTTGCGTTTAAGATTGTTATTGCAGCTGGGTTGATGGTGGCGCACACCTTTAATCCAAGCACTCAGGAGGCAGAGACAGGCGGATCTCTGTGAGTTTGAGGCCAGCCTGGTCTACAAGAGCTAGTTCCAGGACAGGCTCCAAATCCACAGAGAAACCTTGTCTCAAAAAATATTGTTATTGCAAACATATATACTCATCTGTACCTTCTTTATCTTAGTCATTACCTCATTTAAAAAGTTAATGGTGTTTGTTTCTTCTCTCCTAATTCTTATTTACCTGCTCTATCAAAATTTATTTTTTCCTAAGGATTCGTGATTATTTATTTTTAAAACATTTTCTATTATTTTAATTATGTGTACTTGTATATATTTATGTATTGGTATGTATTCGTGAGTGCAGATGCCTTTGGAGGTTAAAGTAGTGTAGGAGGAGGGTCTGCTTGTTCGTCCCGGCCACCTGGCTAGCTTTGCCCCAAAATAACCACACAGAAACTGCATTAATTAAATTACTGTTTGGCCCATTAGCTCTAGCTTCTTATTGGCTAACTCTTACATCTTAATTTAACACGTTTCTATTAATCTGTGTATCGCCGTGTGGTAGTGGCTTACTGGCAAAGCTCGTCTATCTCCAGTGGCAGATCCACGGCATCTCCCTGACTCTGCCCTTCTCTCTCCCAGCATTCAGTTCTGTCTTCCATTCCTACCTAAGTTCTGCCCTATCAACAGGCCAAGGCAGCCTCTTTATTCATCAGTGGCAATCACAGCACACAGAGAGGACTCACCACATCAAAGTAGAGGTAGGGGGATCCCTCTGGAATTGGAAGGCAGGTAGTTGTCATCTACCTGATGTAGGTGCTAGGAACTGAACTCAGGTCCTCTGTAAGAGCTTAGAGTTTTCAGCCTCTGATGTAATCCATGGGTGACAGGACTCACTGCTTACTGTGGAGGATGGGAGCAGATTCCATCCTCATCCTCCATGCCTCACACTTCCTTCCACTTAAAATTCAGTATGTCTGTGTCTAATTCGCTCTCTATGTGGCTTCTTCTGATGGGCATTTTCCATCCAGACACCGTGACAGGGTATCTCTAGGTGTCTTAGGTATCCCTATTCCTGAGCTTGTGATTTCCCATTTTTCAGTTCTGTAGAATAGCTCAGTCAAACAACAGGCCCCCTCTCAAGATGGTACCTGATTATTACACCCCAGCATTTGGGGAGTGATGCAGTGGACTGCCTCTCCCATGTTAGCCTGCCATCCAGGAACACTCAGTGTCAACCCAAATCTCCATGTTTGATTTAAGGCTCGCAGGACTGCCACTTAGCTGCTACTTGGGCTGCCTGGACTCTACTGCTTATGTGTGGTTACTGCTTGTTAATTTCCCACCCTCTTGATGGTGCTAGAGCTGCGAACTGTTCCTTTGGTCTCTTTGCTTCACTTCTCTGTATTTCTGTGTCTTTCTGCCTGTCTTTTCACCTCTTTCTTGATTCCTCATGTTCTCTTTCTGTCCTCATCATACAGGCTCCCCATTGTTGCCCTGACTCATTAATTTGGGAGTCCTATGGATGGAGATGTCTGACTTGCCATTGTACCACTGAACTCTGCCCTCTTCAGTGCCTTTTCCTTTATCATTGTATTTTGTCCTAAATGCTTTCTTAGGAAAATTCACATATTCCAAAAATTTTTATCTTTAAAATATACAGTTCTATCAGGTGGTTTCATAGATTTATGCCACCATCACTATTGTCTAAGTTGAGGAAATTTCACTACCAAAAAGAAACTCCCTACCATTTAATAGTCATTCCCATCAGTGCCAATCCTCAGAACTCTATAGAGCCACTACTCTTCTTGCTTACTTCACATATTTCATCCAAGTGGAATTGTATGATGCCAGTCTTCAGGGAGTAGATATGCACACTCTCCTTCCTTCTCTCCTCTCTTTCGAAGCAAATATCCTGTCACTGAGCTAAGCCCTGAGTCCCAGAATATCACTTCTTTTTATGGCCAAATAGCAATTCCATTTTGGGCATATGCTATATTTTTTATTTATCTATTCATTAGATAATGAACATTTGTATTATTTTGTGTTTTTCAATAATATGCTAGCTATTGCTATGAACATTGCTATGTACATTTTTGCATGTAAATGTGTTTTCAGGCCGGGCGGTGGCAGTGCACACCTTTAATCCCAGCACTTGGAAGGCAGAGGCAGGCGGATCTCTGTGAGTTTGAGGCCAGCCTGATCTACAGAGTGAGTTCCAGGACAGCCAGGGTCACACAGAGAAACCCCATCTTGGAAAACAAAAACAACAAAAGAAAATGTTCCTTCATTTCTTTTGGGTGTATATCTATGAATGGAATTGCTAGGTCATCTGGTAATTTTCTGTTTAATGCTTTGAGGAGATGACAAATTGTTTGCCATGCTGGCGCTCCATTGTATCCACTTATTAGCAGTGGTAAGGGCTCCAGTTTCCTCACACCTTTACCAAGACTTCCTATTTTACGAAAAAAAGAAAAAAAAAAGACTACAGTCATCCCAGGAGGTGTGAAATGGCATGTCACTGTGAGTGGTTTTTTTCCTACAGGGTTTCTCTTTGTAGCCCTGGCTATCCCAGAACTCACTCTGTAGACCAGACTGGCCTCAAATTTAGAGATCTACCCACCTCTGCCTCCCATGTGTGGGATTAAAGGCACACACCACCACTGCCTGACTATCATTGTGGTTTTGATGTACATTTTTCTAATGACTGAATTCTTTATGATTTTCAAGTATTTCTCCTTTGTGTGGGTTATTCTCTCACTCACTTCATGGTATCTTTTAAATTGCAAGTTTTTAATTATGGTGAAGTTTAACTTAACATATTTTATCAATTTTTTTGTCTCTTGTGCATTAGAAGTTATGAATGCTTTTATTTGTAGTACAGCATGTGGACTGGGAATTAGAAACATCCCAGCATTAGTCACTTATTTGACAGAATGAACTATACATTTCAGAGTTTATTTTTCTGGCAATTTCCATCATCGACTCATTTTTGTTCACTTTAAGATATATATCACTCTCAGTATTTCTCAGGTGTCTGATATCACCTTGGTTTTGTAGGGCGTGGTCCCAACTGCTCAGCGTGCTGCCATCGTGGTGGGAGTAGAGTTGCCAGTTTATGATATTACCAAGAAGCACCTGATACTGTCAGGAATGCTGGGAGACACCATTTTAACACACTTTGTGTAAGTGAGCAGTGTTTAATTCATTTTCCAGATTCAGCAGCTTGAACATAAAAAGCCTCTTTTACTGATGTCCTCAGGTAGATTTATAACTGATATTCACGGCCTTAATACTTGTCTCCTGTCACCAATACTTCAAGCCTTCTGAATATTTGATACTTTTAAATTTATTGCTATGTATTAATTATATAAAATAGTGGGTTTTATTGTGACATTTCCTATTATTTACATTTCTCATTATTTAATTAGTATATATTCATTTTAGAAGATTATGTGTTTCAGTATGACATTTTATTTCATTTTATTTAGTTTACATACCAGCCACAGATCCCCTTCCCCCCTCCTCCCTCTCTCCCAAGCCCACCCCCATCCACTCCTCAGGAGGGTAAGGCCTCCCATGGGGAGTCATCAAAGCCTGGCACATTCAATTGAGGCAGGACCAAGTGTCTCCTGTCCTACCCCTCCTCCCCCTCCCCTCCCCCCCGGCCACATCAAGGCTGAGCAAGGCATCCTACCGTTTGGAATGGGCTCCAAAAAGCCAGCTCATACACTAGGGGTAGGTCCTGGTCATACTGTCGGGGTCCCACAAACAGACCAGGCTGCAAAACTGTCGCCCACCTACAGAGAGCCTGGTTCGGTACCATGCAAGATCCCCAGCTGTCAGTCTGAGCTCCTGCAAGTTTAGGTCAGCTATCTGTCTGTGTTTTTCCATCATGACCTTGACCCCCTTGCTCATATAATCCCTCCTCCCTCTCTTTGACTGGACTGGTGCTTGGTCTGGTGCTTGAATGTGGAACTCTGCTCTGCTTCCATCAGTTACTGGATGAAGGTAGTCATCAATCTGATTACAGGGGAAGGCCAGTTTAGGCACTCTGTCCACTATTGCTAGGAGTCTTCTCTGGAATCAGCCTTGTGAACTCCTGGGAATTTCCATAGCATCCAGTTTCCCCCATAATGGAGCCCTCTATTGAGATATCTCTTTCCTTGCTCTTCCACCCCACCCCTCCCCCAACTTGACAATCCCATCCCCTCATGTTCTCATGCCCCATCCCCTTCCCTTTAGCACCCCCCTCCCTGCCCATAGTTTACTCAGGAGATCCCATCTATTTCCCCTTCCAAGGGCAATCTATGTGAAGGGACAGCCTTTCATTAGAAAGGATTTTCTTTCTCTGTATAATGAAGGACTATCAGGTTTTAGCTAATGGATCTGAGTTATTAGAGCTTTTGCATTTAGCCTAAATTCTGTTTCAGTGGACAACTGATTGAAGTAGGGATAATCTTCTTAAATTAGTTGTCACTTTTAGTTCTAGCTTTACCTGTGGTTTGGCTGGGGCTCTGGCATCTAACCCGGTTGACGTGGTGAGAACACGAATGATGAATCAGAGGGCAATAGTGGGACATGTGGACCTCTACAAGGGTACTTTGGATGGTATTTTAAAGGTATGTGCACTGTGGGTTTGGGCTACGGTTTCTGTTTTCTTTGATGTTTGAGAACATTTTATTCTTCTTGCTACATATTCTGAACATTAAGCAACCATTAGGTGTATTTTTTAGTAGCCTCTGAGAATCATCCAAAGGCAAATAACCACTCCCAGAAAATTTGCTAATGCATAGTGCTTCTTAATGTTATTCCAATTTGAATGCTTGAAAATACAGGATACATATAATACATATATGTATACATATAGTAATACATATAATAGCATTGTGTAGAATTATTACTATCAATATTTAATATATCCCAGGTCATGGAAGGGGAAGTTAAAAGGGGAGCAAGAGGGATGGAAATGATATAAATGAGTACTGGTGTATGAAATTCTATTTTTTTAATTAGGAAGCTGGAGAGGTAGCTCAGCACTTAAGAGTACTGGTTACTCTTCCAAAGGCCTTGTGTTCAAGTCCCAGCACCTACATGATACATCACAACTGTCTATAATGCCAGGGGATCTAACACCCTTTTCTGGCCTTCATAGGCACTGCATGCACATGTTGCATGAGATGCATGCAGACAAAACACCTATACATAAAATAAAAAATTTAATAGGATTACTATATCCCATGCTTTCCAACCTCAAATAAGGAGAGACTCCATAGTAGAAGTCCTGGTACTTAAGAAGCTTCAAAACCCAATACTTGGGTTAGGTTCCAGGTTGTTCTGTTGATCACATTCTGCCTTGAGTATTTCTGTTGGGGTTGGATATCATAAATGTTTACAGAAGTATTGGTTACATTATTACTATAAAAAACGAATTCAGGGATAAAATGTGAAGGGGCCATATGATTTTTCTGCTGTTATCAGTTTCAATGAACATATATTTGTTATTTATGAGGTACTATTTTAATAGCTAAAGGGAATTATAGGTATTACTAAAGTACTGACAGTTACAAATAGATAATAAATATAGCATAATAACTGATAAAACCTAGAACGCTATGGTAGGAAATTATGGCCCATACTTGAGAATTTTAAATAACTCACATTTGCTGAATGCTTTGTTGTATGACAGGAGCTGTTCTAATGAGATTTACATGCATTCAGTCACTTCATTCTCCTCATTATCCCATGAGATAGATATTTTGGCACTGAAGGATCACCTTCTTTAGAATTTTACAGTTAGCAAATAGGCGTGCTGCAATAAACTCAGACTTTTTGGCTTAAGGAAGCATTCTTAACTAATACGCTTGATACTTTCCTGATATCAGTAACTATAGGTTGAGTGGATTATATTGAGATGCTTAGAAATACTGAGAGCTTTAAACAGGTCCCATTTGTATTTTAAGTACGTCACTCTGTCTTTGTGGAAATAGTATCTAAGATAGTGGGTCTCAATCTTGGGTACACATTGGAATCACTCATTAATTTCACAGCTCCCATGTTTTTCTTAGATCAGTCAACTCAGAACCTGGGTTATTAAGAGTTTTAGAATTTCACAGGTGGTTGTGTGTTCATCCAAGTTTGAAGACCACTAATTTAAGGGGATGAGGGTGGGACAGTGACTAGGTCTTCTCTGTTTAACATGTTTTAGAATTACCTGAATTAATTCAGCATGTCAGAAATGGGACCTGAGAATTTATATTTCCAGCAAGGTTCTAACCTAGTTGACTTAAAGAGCCATTGAGTTGGAGATAAGAATGTTGATTAAAAGTTTTATGTAGTGATCTGAGTGAGAAATGATGAAGGCCTGAGCCTCAGTGTGACTGGGAATGTAGAAGATGGGACAGAATTAGGAATAATTTAGTTAGAAGAATTTAATCATTGAGAATAATTGGAATAATAGAGTTTTGTTGAGATGATATGGAGATGTGTGGGGAAGAGGGTGTGTCGAAGATGACTTCCCGGGTCTGGATTTGGTGACCAGATGTTGTAAACCTTCTCTGGTTATATACCTATCTGTATGTTAATGATCCTAAGAACGCTTCCCTATAACCACAGAATTCTACCAATTTAAGCCTAATATCTCCAAATACTATGAGTTCTTCCTCATACACATCAAACTAAGCATCAAAAACCATGTCCCCTATAAAATCTGGGTTTTTTTTTTTTGATAATTTGGATGATGGGAAGGAGGTGACCACACGCAAATCTTGAGAAAACCATTTCATAAATAAAGAACAGATTATAAAAGGCCTGAGTTGAAATGAGTTTGACTTTATTAGAGTTAAAAATAAGGATTGTGTGGCTGAGTACAGTAAGCAAAGAAGAAGTCATAGGAAGTGAATTTGCAGACAGGGACATAGTCTAAATCATGTAGGATCCTAGAGGTCGCTACAAAGCATTTAGAATTAGAATGAAAGCCACCTGAGAACTTTGAAGTAGGATTGTCGTATAGTCTGATTTATAATTCTTAAAAGTTGATTTTAGTTGGTAGGTGGAGATCTTAAACCAATTAGGATTTTAGTGTGATAATTGAGATAATGATAATTGGATAATCTCTGAGGTCTCTTGTCATTTAATTACATGTTTTTAGGTTATCTGCATCTCAACTTTATTTTGGATAATTTTCAAAATTAAAACATGAATTTTGGATTGAGTGTTTCAGTATTTGCTGGAGGTCCATTGGTAGAAGCATATTATTTATGACTGTCTATCAATAGTATTATTACTATGTTATTATTTGTCTTTCCCATCCCCAAGTGATTAATAAAGACACTTATTTCTAGGTTCTTAATTTGCAGGATGAGAAAAGAGATACTTTTAAATCTGGCTTCTCATATCATTATCTTATTAAAATGTGTTCATTTCTCAAAACAGTGCTAAAATTCATTTCACCACTGAAAGGCAGAACAACATTTTTCAGTATCGGACAAAACACCCGACATATTGCCATTACTTTATAGATATTTGTCTATTATATAAACTACTTTTTGGCAGAATTCAGCATATGGCATCAGCTTTTGGCCTTAAGTCAGTCATCTAGTTCTTGAGACCATTTGGTGCATATAGAGACCCCCTGCTATGTAAGTCGGGGCACCACAATACACAGCAGTTCATGTTGTTTGTCACCCATAGTCCTCCAAACACTCACCTGAAATATCCCGTGGAGTCACAATAACTTTAAAAGTAGAAAACAGAGTCAGAGAAGGAAAGTGACTTTCTCAAGTCCTTATTCCTTTCCTTGGTTTTCTTCATCCCTTTTATCATTTCTGGATACAATATGTATCAATATAATATCTACCAATATCTGTCCATCTATCCATCATCTATCTATCTATCGAAACGATGTGTGTATTTGCTTACCACAATAGAGTATACATTCAGTAGAGGCACAGATTGTATAAGCTATGTATAGCTGTATAGCAAATTACTCTAAAACTCAGTGTCTTAAAAGTACAGTATTCTTTTCCAGTTTGGGGGGATCAGGAATTAAGAAGCAGCCTTGTTGAATGATTCGAGAGTGAGACCTCTTAAGAGGCCGTACGTCAACCAAGACTTCAGCCATCATCAAGGCTTGAGTGGGGCTAGCATATCTCCTTCAAAGGTGACTCATTGATGTTAGTTAAATGCTTCAGCTCCCTATGATGTAGGCCTCGTTTCATGGTATGACAGCTGGTCTCCATCAGAGTGAATAATTCAAGAGAGGAGGCAATAGACACCTCATTATATATCAAATGTTTTTTTTATAATCTAGCAGTGTTAATTTCTGCACTGTTCAACAGTCCTGATATGATGTGAGAGCTGCACAAGGACATGGATGACAAGGATAGGGTCCTTTAGGTGTGCCGTCACTTTATGTAGCTATTTCTAGTTACTGCAGACATACTGCCTGGGAAGTTACTATTTCTCACAATTTCATTTCACATGTTCATATAATGTACTTGAATCGATTATCTTGCATTATCCTCTCTTATTTCTGTCCCGCTCCCTCAAAATTCCCTTCTAATACCCAACAACTCCTATTTCTCATTGTTTTTATTTGTTTGTGACCCACTACATTTAATTAGGGTGTTTTGAGACAGGGTCTCATGTAGAGACCAAGGCTAGTCTCAAATTCACTGTATAGCTAAGGATAGCATTGAACTCCTGATTTACTTTCTCTGCTTCCAGAGTGCTAAGATTATAGGCATGTACTGCCATGCCCAGCTCTTACTTATGGTTATATTCCCAGAGTTAAGAAGTATGTGTTGTATATGTGGGGTGCTCAAGAAATAAATATTGTATAATGGTTTGATGCATTTAGATTCAAATTATTTAGACTATGAAGTATATCTTCAGAAAAGAGACCATTCATAGTAGCCAAAGTTTCTGGGAGTGGGCATGGAAAATGGTTGTCAAATGTAATAAAAAAAAGGAAATTCACTATTTTTCGTTATGTCTTTACCTCAGATGTGGAAACATGAGGGTTTTTTTGCCCTCTATAAAGGATTTTGGCCAAACTGGCTTCGACTTGGACCCTGGAACATCATTGTATCCTTTTAGAAACTGAGAATACAAGCCAGTCCTTCAAAGTCCCAGGTATTTCTAGGTTATGGGAAGATAATTTTGATTATTAAATCCTTTATAGAAAAGTAAGAAACTCAAGCATCCCATTGGAGACCAGTGTGAATGGAACCAAGTAGAGAAATAACTTTCCCTTGGAGGCAAATACATATACTTAAAGGGACAGAAAAGATGTGCCAGATGTTCCTCTTTAAATCAAAATGTCTAAGATGGCTCAGTGTGTAAAGGTGCTCACCTCCATACCTGGTGACCTGAGTTTAATCTCTGGGACTTACGGTGAAAGGAGAGAATTTGCTCCTGTAAGTTGTCCTCTGAACTCTAAACACACATACACACACATACATACACACACACACACACACACACACACACACACACACACACACACACACACTGTGGCAGGTACATACCTTCCCCAGCAAACAAACAAACAAACAAATAACCAAATAAATGTAATACAACAAAATATCAAGCACAGCCAGTTGTCCTGTGAACTTCATGCACACACTCTGGCAGGCACATGTCCTCCCCAGCAAATACATAAGTAAGCAAATAAATCTAATAAAACAAAATTTAGTGACACTGATAGAAGATGCTCACTGGAAACTCCATGCTTTTGTGGTCTAGAGTTCTTAACTGTGAGACCCAAATAGCTAGAAAATGCCAGCAGGACACAAAGCATTGGTAGAGTGAACAAAACCACAGCCAAGTAGGACTCTATTATCGTGGGTGCCTTTCTCTCCTTCAGCCGTGCTTTAGTGCCTTGTATGGGTAGAGCCATGCACTGGATACTTTGTGTACTTGTGAGCTTGGCAGGGTTGAAAAGTAATTCCCCACCCTTCTGGAATCTGTAGACTGAACAGAGAGTACATCTCTTTCTCTCTTTGGAATTGGGTTTTGTATTGTGTTGTGTTTGTTCTGTTTGCTTTTGAAAACTATAACTATATTATAATTCATTTTCATTGCTCAGTACCATTGATCATAATGGAAAATAGTAGGCAATCAACACATCTTATCTTTTTTTCCTGATTTTTCAGGACAGGGCTTCTCTGTGTAAGAGTCCTATCTGTCCTGGAACTCACTCTGTAGACCAGGCTGGTCTTGAACTCACAGAGATCTGCCTGCCTCTGCCTTCCAAGTGCTAGGATTAAAGGTGTGTGCTACCACTGCGTGGCCCAACACATCTCATCTTAAGAAAAGTCTTTGAAGGGCTGGAAAGATGGCTCAGTGGTTAAGAGCATTACCTGCTCTTCCAAAGGTCCTGAGTTCAATTCCCAGCAACCACATGGTGGCTCACAACCATTTGTAATGAGGTCTGGTGCCCTCTTCTGGCCTGCAGGCATACATGTAGACAGAATATTGTATATTAAATAAATAAGTAAATAAATATTTTTTAAAATCCAGTTTAAAAAGAAAAGTCTTTGAAGGAAACCCCCTTTAGTCTAAGTACATTAATTTAAGAAAATGCAATGTACAATTTTCAAAATGGGTTTAACTTTCAGTGTCAACTCAGAAATCTTCCATGACTCACTTTTCAGTTTTTTATTACATACGAGCAGCTCAAGAGGCTTCAGATCTAAGAACTGAAAAATCCATGGACCCAACACTACCGCCCTTTCTACTGTTCTCCTTTGTGTTCCTAATGTATTTTGACAAAGACGTATGTGTTTACAGAACCAGTGGTCTCCCGAGGGTCCTCTTATTGAAGAGTAGTAGGATGACTTAAGGTTGTTTATGCATCTGTGTTACCTCTTCCCTAAGAGGAAGTATTCACATTGAGAGTGTGACCCCAGATTGGTGTCTTCTGTGAAGATGGATACTGATGGGTGACATTCAAAAGGGCCTTCTTTTCAAATGTGGGTTAAATGCAGTTGGTTATCCCCAGACAGGTTACAGCAGAAGGCGACCAGCACAGGTCCTGCTATGTATGTTATAGACCTTGGTTCTCATTAAACTATTTATTGGCTGAATCATTCTGACTTTGTCTTCATTTACTCTCTTCTTTCCTAACTCTAAGTTGCCTTTTCTAGAAACTGAAACAGAGAAAGTGATTGAAATTGAGACTGGACTCTTACAACACATTTATGGGAGCTGCCTCTGCCTCCCAAGTGCTGGCATTAAAGGCGGCAGCACCACCTTCCGGCCTGAGATGGGATTCTTAAAACACAAATTTGTCCACAGAATGCCACCTGCTTCTAAACATCAGGGCAGTGGTTCTTTCCAGAATGTGAAACAAGTAAGCAAGTGGATCGTTTGGAAGGTTCTGCAGATAAAATGCTAACCACGGTTTACAAAATAGCCCTGTGGTCTGAGTTAAGGTCTTCATAATCATCTGCTCATGTGTTTATTCAAATGTCATATGTCCTTTACTTCCTGAATGCTGGGGATATGAAGAATGATCCTGTCTCTGGTTTTTAAGCTCACGTTAGAGTAGAAACTGGCTTGAGAGTAAACAATAATAGTTGGCTCTAAGTACTATGAGAGGGACAATCAAAGAACTGCAGGAGGATGGAGGAGAAAGCTTTACTTAGAGGCTCTGCCAAAGCTTCAGAGTGGAGTTGACATTTAAACTGAGCCAAAGGACGAGGGGATGGTACCATGTGGATAAGGCCTTATATATCTTGACAAGTGTTTAACAACATATATCTGCCATTAGAGAATCATAAAGAATGGTTTTATTACCCTAAAAATCCTCCTAACCCTTGGCAACCACCACGACTTTTACCGTCTCAATGGTAACGCCTTTTCCAGAGTATCATAATTGGAATCATACAGTAGCCTTTCACATGGGCTCCTTTCCTGTAGTGATGTCCTTTAATTGTCCTCTGTGTCTTTTAGAGATTTATTTTTATTTTGTGTGCATGTGTTTTTGCCTGCACTGTATGTCTGTGTACCACCAGTGCTCCTTGGAAGCCAAGAAAGGGTGTTGGATCCCCGGAACTGGAGTTTCCGATGATTGTTAGCTGCCATGTGGATGCTGGGATCTGAACCTGTGTCATCTGCAAGAGCAACAAATGCCCTTAACCACTGATCCATCTCTTTTTCCCTGTTCTAGATCTTTTGATGGCTGTATATTTCATTTTGGTTTAGTGCTACATTAGACAGCATAAGCCACTGTGACAGAATACCAGAGAAACCTAAAGGGAGAGAGGTTAATTTTGGTTCATGGTTGGAGAAGTCTCAGCTCAATTAGGTGAACTGACCATGCTTTTGGTGCTGTGATGAGGCCCATTGTAGCAGGAAGCCATGACAGAAGAAAGCTATCTGCTTTGTAGTAGCCAGGAAGCAGGAAAAAGAGATGAAGGGACCTGTAAATATTTGTCAAATGAGTAAATGAATTAATCTGTAGCGAAAGTATCAGATACAATTCCTAAAAATACAATAAAGGTTCATAAGGTACTATAGTATATGTTTGTTTAAAAATTGAATTAAGATAAGGATTACTTCAAACCTGAGCCAATAGAAGGGCAGTACTGCCATGATTTTAAGTACTGTATGTGTGTGTATATATATATATATATATATATATATATATATATATATATATATATATATATATATATACTGATGACTTCCAGATGGACATCTTCAGCCCATGCCTTTCCCCTTGCCTGCATACTAGTTTGGTTTTTTTTTTTTTTGTGTGTGTGTGTGTGTGTGTGTGTGTGTGTGCCAGTGCCAGTGCCTACTCCACATCTCTGATCAAGTCTAATAGGTACTGTAGATTTGTGTGTGTGTGTGCGTGTGCACACACATGAGAGCGACTTCAATGATTTATTATGTACCAGATACTGTTGTAAGTGTAATGTCTTGTCTTTATAAAATGAAATCCTTAAAATCACCCTTCGAGGCAGGTACTGGTCCTATTTTTTTTCAGATTATAAATTGACACACAGGAAAGTGAAGTACTTTGCTCATTGAAAGTAGCAAATGCTAACCAAAGTCTAGCTCATGAGCTCATGTTTATTATGATTATTGGAGAGGTATACTGACTTACCTTGTTAGGAGCCACGTAAAGTTTATAGCAGGTGATCACTAAACATACTGATTCCATGAATTCCCCAATCTTTATAGCATTTTTGTGGTTGTTAACTCTTCGACACTTAACTGTAATACTTCATTTTGATGGTTTTCTTGAAGACCTTGACTGTATGTATATTATTCCCCAATTATTTTCCACTTCCTACTACATTCCTTTGTTGCCCTCTCTTTTCCATTACCTTCATTGTCACTCTATCCCTTCTTCCTCCAGTCAAAGCCAGCACAGTTCATAGCCAGTAACACAGCAGGGTTCAGAAAGATGTTTAGAACATGGAGTTATTAGTATAGATGAAGTGTTGAAATTTTTAATTTGGAAATGGGGCTAGACTTCTAGCCCTCTCTTCCAATATATTTATATCTATCTATCTATCTATCTATCTATCTATCTACCTATTACATATTTGGTTTTTAGAGACAGGGTTTCTCTGTGTAGCCCTGACTCTCCTGGAACTCACTCTGTAGACCACGCTGGACTACAGAGAGATCCTCATGGCTCTGCCTCCCGAGTGCTGGGATTAAAGGCATGTACCATCCCCGCCCCACATTATACTTTTTAATGCATCTATGTCCCTATCATGCATTTAGTAAGTAAGAAAAACAGTTTAATATTACTATATGTAAGATTATGAGGGGACCATGTCATCTTAAAGAGGTGTAATAGTCTAAGAGCCACTCAACTCTGAATCAGTGTTTTACACTTGAAATAAGCTCGTAGCCATTCTGCTGTAATTTATTGGTTTTTGCTCTCACCCTTTTTCCAAATTACTGCTGAGCTGATAGGACCTTCAATTGCTCCTCTGTGTGACGAGTTTTCACATCTGTTGACTGTCTCGATGAAAAAATTTGTAAAAATACATTTACCAGTTTTGTAAAGCAGCACAGTCATTGACAGGACCTAAGACAGTGCTATCTCGGTGTATTTATCAGCTGTTTAGTGCCTTCATGTCAACACAATTGAGACAGAACTGGAACTGATGCACATTTATTATGGTGAATTGGCAATGGGATTAAAGCATGAGATTGTCAGGCAGCATATATCAAAACAGAACAAATGTGTGAAGCCTTCCTCAGGCTTTCTACCCTGTGTGATCTTACTTCCTCTGGCCCCCAGGAGCAAATGAATCCTGCATGCCCCACCATAAAGGTGTGCAGGTTAAAGAAATGGGGGTGCTTTGTAAAAAGAGATCTTAGACCCTTAACGGCTGCATTGGTTGTTTCCAGGCTTCCTTCTGAGAGGGCTGCTTGAGCCCAGCGACTGATTGTGATCCTAACAGCTTGTAAACCCAGGGGCCATATGGCTGGGTAGCATGTTAAACACTCATGCACTTTATCCTGTCGTGCCTGACCCATCAGACAGAACACATCTTTCCTTTTCATTCAGTCTTCCTAAAGACTCCAGCGTCTCATCTTCTACTGTGCCAAGTCTCACCTCCCTGTTCTCTGTGTAAATGTTTGGCTCTCAGGCTCACTGAGCAGTTTGTGATATTATACACAGACTGCCTCAGAAAACTTTGAGTGATGGCACCAAAACTGACAGCTCTCTGGATATCACACTGTGTGCTGTATTGATGGAGTCACAAGGAAGGGTTTTCTCAAACTACCGTGTTCTGTAGTCCAGCTTTCTGTGTTTCAGGAGATGGGTTAAGCATCTTGATAGCAGGGTGTATCAAAATATTTCATTCTGGTAAATCAAATCAGTCCTAACCTAAACCAATTTTCCTGGGATGGCTTATGCTTTCAGCAATGTATGTGCTTTCATTTCCTTGAGATAGTTATGTCAGTGCTGTCTGTTCATGTGTGGTTCATTTATGATGTCTTTTGGTAGCTATCCCAGGGAAACCTAACACCAAGGAATGCCAACAAAACCCTAAATCAAAATTAGTATCATTACTTTGTTGTCATTTTTGAGACAAGTTTTCTCAATATAGCCCTGGATATCCTGAAATTCAGTATGTAGACCAGGCTGGCCTCAAACTCAGAGAGATCTGTCTGCCTCTGCTTCCTGAGTGCTGGGATTAAAGGCATGTGCCACCACATACAGCCTGAATAAAAATTCCTATCAAGGCTTAATACTTGTTGATTTAGTAATGCTGCTTTGGAGGCTGTAACCTTAAGTGATTGAACAGAGGCACATCAGAGATTTATGCACAGGATATTTATACTGATATAACAATGAGAAATACTAAATTTGAACACAACTATAAGAAGTGACTAAAATACTACATATTCATTTGTTGAAAACACACATACAACCATTATGGTACACTTTTGAAGAAGACACAGTGACCTAGGAAAATACACACAATATAATATAAATTGGAAAAAAAAAGGTGGAGAATAGAAGTGGCCATCTCTGGAGGGTATAATTATAAGCACCTGAATGATTTTATGTATTTTCAAATATTTCTAAAATGACTAAAGGTAGTTTTAATAATACAGAAGGTTTAATAAATATATCCCATACATCAGTGTACACCTCTAAAAGAAACCCCAGGAAGGATGCAGTTTCATAGCACCTACCTCTGAAATGTTTGTGGGATAGACAGGTGAACAGATACACGATTAATGCATGGCAGTTAACATTTGTAGGTGCCACAGATTTGTAGGTGCTATTTGTAAGATTGACGAAATAGCAAAGGAGGATTCATGGAAAAGGAGGTGGATGCCAGACTTCTCAGCAGCCTTTGAAGGATGGTACGGAAGGTACTGAAGTTATCACTCGCTTTTGCATGGGTGATGCTGATCAAAGAGTTGTGGTCTGTCCTGGAGTTCACTGCTGTTCTTCTCGCCCAGCTGTTGCCATCTTATTTCCTCTTATTCTGTGCCTGTCCTTGAGGGATCCTCATTCTCACTCATTTCAATGGTTTCTGTTCAGTCTGGCCAGTGACCAAACTTGCTGAGAATGAAGTCTATCTCCTGACTT